AAAAAAAAAAAAAAACAATACCATTCTCGACATATGTAGTTTAGATTGACAAAGTGATTGATTTAATGTTTCCTTGTTGCAGTGCGTAGATGTATTAGAAAAATGGCAATCATCATCAACAGCAACGGATGTCGGCACGGCAGAAACCATGGCTGCCGTGGAAGAGTTGACGGGTATATTAACGAGTTACGACATGGAGGCATTACTTATAGCACACGATTCAATAATATCATACGTGGAAGGTTTCCAAAGAAAACACAGTCCTTCGTCCTCGTCACCAAGTGGTCCACCAAGTCCTACGTCCAGTTGGAGAGAATCACGTGTAGATAACATCAAAATTATTAGGATCGAAAAAACTAACGAACCATTGGGTGCTACTGTTAGAAACGATGGTGATGCGGTTATCATAGGTATTAATAAATAATTTAACATATATTTTTATAAGTAAAAGAAAAACAACAACACGTTTCGTACACGTTCCCTGACGACCCCCCCCCTCTTCCAACTCTGAGCTGAACTTTTCATTTAATTTATTTATGATAATTTTATTATTGTTTATGATATTTTATTAATTTTTGATTAAGTTAAGTGAAGAGTATTGTTCGGTGGTCGCGTATTTTTCTTGAAATAATAATTCTCTAGATAATAATAATAAATTTGTATTGTATTATGCATATCTTAAACTATGTACCCTTTTTCTTTGATAATTATGATCTTAATACTATTTTAATTACTGCAAGGAATAGTTAAGAAACAAAAGAATGTAATCGTTAAGCGTGGGACGGTACGGAAAGTGTTAATTAACAATCATTTACCTGATAGATTTATTAAGATTTTTCTCGAGAAAAAATGTCACTGTATTAATTTGATCATTATATTCTTATAAATTATAATTTTGGATTTTATTGCATAATATTTTAATATACAAGATTGTTTGTTATGTCAGATAAGTGATTGGAATCCGAAAAAATGGAATAAAATAAAAATTCTCTATTATTTTGCAAGGTCGAGTTGTTCGTGGTGGTGCAGCAGACAAATCCGGACTTTTGCACGAGGGGGACGAAGTTTTGGAAGTTAATGGTGTTGAAATGCGTGGCAAAAGTGTTAACGAAGTTTGCGACATTTTAGGTGGGATGCAGGGTAGTCTTACGTTTTTGGTATTACCGGCACCAACGAATTATCGTAATAATTTGAATAATAGAAAGGAAGATACTAATCAGGTAAAAGTCATTAAAACAATTGTCTTGTTATTTTGTTTATAAACTTATAAACTTTATGTTATTAAAGTGAATCAAAAGTTCGTGCATTTATTTTCTTGTTTCAAATAGATAATGCAATTTTATGAAGACAATAAAATTACTTCATATGCAAGTGAAATATTAATTTAAAACACATCCAACTTTTGGTACACCCTAATAATAATAATAATAAATAAGTAATATTTAAGATAAAAATAATATCTTTTTTTTTCTGTTTCCTTTTTTTTTTTTTTTTTAGATACAACATATACGCGCACATTTTGATTACGATCCCGAGGAAGATCCGTATATACCGTGCAGAGAACTCGGAGTTAGTTTTCAAAAAGGTGACGTATTGCATGTGATTTCTCAGGAGGATCCAAATTGGTGGCAGGCATACAGAGAAGGTGAAGAGGATCAAACGTTAGCCGGTCTTATACCCAGTAAAGCTTTCCAACACCAGTAAGTATATATATATTTTCTTTTTTGTTAATAATAAGTATTCAAAATAAATTTCAAAAATATTATACGAAATATAAAGAATTGGGTACACAGATTATAGAAAATAATTGATTATAAAAAAAAAAAACAAATAATATAATAATGATTGTAAAGTAGTTGTGGATAAAATATACAAAGTAAGTCAGTGAATGGAATTTATGCAAAGCGTTCAAGGATCGGGGTGTGGTATAAAACACGAAGACTGGTTGTTTAGTCATTGCATAAATTTGTGAGGCTAATGCTTTTAACACCCATGGATGCTTATTTCGCAGACGAGAATCAATGAAGCAGACGATAGCTGGTGGAAAGTCAACGGTCAGAGGTTCGAAGAAATCCAGTACCCTATTGTGCGCGAGAAAAAATCCAAAGAAAAAAAAACGAAACAAATTAGGTGCCAATTTCAATGACGATGGTTATCCACTTTATGCGACTACTACGATAGACGGTAAATCAAATAAAAATTGTTGATTTATTATTACATTAATGTGACGCATGATAATGTATTATTATTAATAATGATAATAATAATAATAATAATAATAATAATTCATAGATTACGATAGCGAAGAGGTATTAACTTACGAAGAAGTTGCATTATATTATCCAAGAGCTAATCATAAGAGGCCTATCGTTCTTATTGGTCCTCCTAACATCGGTAGACACGAATTGAGACAAAGATTGATGCAAGACAGCGAACGTTTTGCGGCAGCTATTCCTCGTGAGTTATTTTTTCATTATAATTTAATCAAATAAACTTAATCCTTTTTCTTTATTTGCAATCTTTCTAGAAA